TCCTATGTTTACAGACCTTCTACAACTGATTACCCATCACCCCAACCTGGGTGCCTGTGGGGCATCTCCAAACAGAACAAAGGATATGTTAGGAGTATCTCTGGTTGCATACAATAGAAACTTAACTGGATTTCTTGAGGAAGAAAGAGTTTTATTATTCTTGCACACAAGAAAATTAAAAGTAAGCAGTCCCAGGTGATGGAACAATTGCACTACATCACATTCCGGACTCCTCCTGTAATCCTGCTTCATCAGCCTTACCTTCACAGTTGATTTTTACCCTTTTGGTTATAATATAGCTGCCATCCTTCCAGGCATTGCTTCTGCATTCCTGGCAGAAAGAAATATTGCTTCTTGTGAGAAAATAGGAACACTCCCTAGTAGACTTGTGCTGCATTTCATTCACAACCCTGTCACATGCCACTGTAATTACAAGGGAACTTAGAAATTCAAGAGTTTTAACTCAGCATGTTGGCACTCTAAATGCCATTTTTTTTAATTGTTGATGGTAGTGGTGAACTTTTGGTTTTTGGTTTACAAAGAGGGAATGAGTATTGGGCAGGCAGCTAGCAATGGCAGCCACATTCCCCTATTCATGTGGGATTAGATTTGGTCAAAGTGACTCTAAAACCAAAATAATGGTGACATTAACAAATCCCACTTTGCTTCTCTCTCAGGTGAATGCCTGGGCTGTCGAGGCAGTTTTGTGATCATCGGGGACCTGGGCTTTTGTTGCTGTCCATTCTCAATATGCAGCTTCTGTCTCATCATCAAAGGTGGCTGCTACTGTGTGGGTAGTTTAGCTAGCAGAAGGGGAAAAAGAAAAGGCAGTAGCCCTACCTTTGAGAACCTTTCCTGGAAGTTGCACATATATGTTTGTTTACCTACCTGTGACCAGAATTCTGTCACATAGCCACACATAGCTTGAGGGGGAGGAGGGTTTGGGAAATGTGTTCCTTATTCTGAATGGCCACATACTCACCTGAGGATCAGGAGTTGTATTCTGTAGAACACAAGGACAATGGATTTTGGGGGGAAATTAGTCCATGAGCCACTTATCCCACTCTACTACTTTTCAGTAAGGTGACAACCAGGTCACTCATAGAAGAGCTGCCAGGGAAATTTAAAAACCTAAGAAAGGGGCTGGGGCTATAGCTCAATGGCAGAGTGCTTGCCTACCATGTGTGAGGCACTGGGGTTTGATCCTTAGCATCACATAAAAATAAACAAATAAAATAAAGGCATTCTGTTCATCTACAACTACAAAAAAATTTTAAAAGAAAGAAAGAAAGAAAGAAAGAAAGAAAGAAAGAAAGAAAGAAAGAAAGAAAAGACCTAAGAGGGAAGATCTGTCTTAGAGCTATCCTAATTGCTTCTACTTTGCACGCACACCCCGTGACCTTCCATCTGTCATCTCCATGGCCAGCACACAGTCATAAGCACCATCACTTTTTGCCTGGGTTTCTGTAGGCGCTTCTGACCATTCTCTCTACTCTTACTCCAGGTCCTGGGTTGTCCATATTGCTTCTGGAACCCAGCATGTTTTCCTTAAAGTCAAAATTATATCACATACCAGCTTCCCACTTTGCAGTGTCTGGCACTGCCACCTCTCATCCAGTCCATCTCCTGCTTTCTGGTTTTGAATACCTCAAGCCTGTCACTCCTTTAACAAACATGATTCAGGTTGCTCCTAGATTCTATCACCTCACACAGGCCTTCCCAAATGCTACCCCCCTTTCTGATGTCGGCTGTCTTTGCCCTGTTTTATCAACTTGCTTACTGTTTGTTACATTTATTGTTAATTGTTACTGTTTATGTAAGCTGCATGCAGCAGAAATGTCCCCAGCACCCAGGAACATGAAGGAGCTCAATCTGTTGAATATTCCATGACTACCTTCAGGGGCTCCATTTTCTCTGGAACTTTTTTCTGACTGGTGAAAGAATAATGTGCTTTAATGAATTCTAGAACTTACTCAGTGTTTCTGTACTATTTACTTAATGGAACTAACCTCACTTTGGATAGCTCCCCTCCCCAGATCCATGGATTTTCTACTACAACCCAGACTGGTTGTTCTTTAGGTCTCTTCTGCCATCTTTGGATTTCCCACCCCAAGGGGCAGAACTACGAGTTCTAATCCTATTTCTTCTCCTCTTTGTGTTAAGCTCTGTTTTCTGGAATTAAGTTCTCAAACAAGGCATAGGAGATGAGTGTTCTGAGTCTGCATGTCTGAAAATGCCTTCATTCTCTCACTTGATTGGTAGAGTGGTTGGTTGTGGAAGTGCATTTTCAGGTGAAATCTATGGGGTATCTTCCCGTATCCATTGTTGCTGTTGAAGAATCAGTTGCCACCAGAGACGTGTTTCCCCTGTTTGCGACCTCATGTTTTCCCCTGTCCTCTCTCTATCATTGATGTTCTGAAATCCCAACAGACATATAATATATTATGCTGACACCCAATTAATTCTTAATCTGAAGACATAATCTTGTTTTAGGTCACATGAAAGTGATTTTTATTCTATTCTTAATGGATTATTAAGTCTAATTTCAAACATCCTGAATTTATTCTCTTTATGTTTTATCGTTTCATTGACCCTTTCTTTCCTTTGTTCTACATTTTGGAAGATTTCCATGATTTTGTATTCTACCGCTTTTTTTTTATTTGTGTCATTTTTTAAATTTTCATAAGATCTTTCCTCTTTTCTGGTTGTTTCTTCATTCATAGTAACCTTTTCTTTGTTTCTTTTTTTATATATAGAAGCATGTCTTTCAAGTCTTTCTACAGGTAATAAAACAAATTGTTAAAGCTCTCACCCGTTATTTGATGTATCTGTTTCTTTTGGGATTAGTTATTCCATTTGTTGTTGTTGTTGTTTTGGTCTTTCATAGTGCTGGTTTTCCTATGAAACTGAACCTTGATTGCCCATCCAACTAGATTAATTATTCCAGGTATTCTCTGTCTTGAAAACATAAATCTGCTCCTTCTACTGAGTGTGTGGAATACAGGGCTGCCTTTCTGTCTTAGTCTCATCATTTTTCTGGGTCCCATTCCCTATGGCTCCTTGCTTTTTAAAAAACACTATCAAGATTAAATCCAGACATCAGTAACCTTTTTTAAAAGGGGATTTGTTTTTTCCTCTCAAAAAAGCCTGGCAGTGGGCAATCCACAGTTGATATCACTGCTCCAGGAGATTGTCCTGCACCCTGGCCTTTTCTTTCTGCTTAGTCATTTAGAACACCTGTCCTCTGTCTTCAGAATTCCCTCATGGAAATAAATGTTTACAGTTGCTCCATAGGCACATGCTAGGCAGGAAAAGGGTGAAGGGGGCAGGGGACTGAAGGTGCAGCCAGTTGAGTCTGGTTCTCGTGGAAAGTGTTTTTATGGAAAGTCTTTTGCTGTGGCTTCTGATTATATTGCATTGGCTTCCACTATCCTCAAGGGGCATTGGGAAATTTAGTTTTTTAGCTAATAATGAAATACTTTATTTTCCCAAATTATATAGGAGTTCTGTTGTTAAGGAAGAATAGATTTTTGAGTTTGCAGCCATTGCCTTCACACTGTGATTTCAGTGGTACTTGGAAGAAGGAAGGAGGCCACACAGGCTCGACCTCAAGACTTGAAATGAAAATGCTAATCTTTGAAATGCAGAGTCTCCCTCTTCGTGCCTGGAGCGGCTAATGTTAAATGTATTCTTCACAGGGGAAGAATTTTTATTATATGTTTAATGACCCATATTTAATTGTGTGCATTTTCTTATTCATTATGATGCTTTTTTCTTTGCATGTGTTGGGAAGGAGGAACCTTGGCAGGTTTTTCCAAATCTTGAATTGCATCATTGAGATTTGCTCTATTTTTAGAGGCAGTGTATTAGTGTCCTGCTGGTAATGTAGTATCATAAATGAAGTGACTTAAGATAACACAAATTTATGATCTTGCACTTCTTGAGCTCAGAAGTCCAAAGTGAGTTTTACTGGGCTAACTAACATCCAGGTAGTCCACAGGACTGTGTTCCTTCTGGAGGCCATAGGGCACCATCTGTTCTAGCTTCTAGAGGTTGCCTGGGTTTGGGGTCTCTCATTTCAAAGCCAGTCCCCTGGCATCTTTTAGTCTTTTTCTGGCTCCGACCCTCCTGCCTCCCTTTTGTAAGGATTCTTGTGATTGCATCGAGCCTGCCCTGATAATCTAGGGTAATCTACCTGTTTTAAAATCATTAATTTAACCAAATCTGCAAAATCCCTTTTTCCCTATAAGGTAACATTCACAGGTTTAGGATTTGGTCATCTTTGGGGGAAGGAAATTATTCTGCCTACCACAGGCAACTGTAACTCAACTTTGAACAGAATTTTCTTTATATCGTTTCCTGAAACTGCTGCCTAGGAAGAAGTAGCTAAGAACTACCATTCAGTTTTCATGAACAGAATATGAATTTAATTGTTAGGGATGTTGGAAAGATTATCCTCTATTCCATTTTAGAATTATCAAGAACCTCTGCAAGCAATATGGTCTAATTCATGTGGCATTTCTAGGGACAGTGGTTATAAACAATTGTATTTGGTTTTGCTTTCTTAGGTGAAAAATATGTGGAAAGACTTTTTATCAGAAAATTACTTGAAACAAAATTTTGTTCCATTGATTTCTTTTACAAAATAAATAGATTTTAAATTTTTTTTTTTTTTGCTTTTAGCCTCATTTACTGAACTTTTGCTTTTTTCAGGGAAAGTAATTTCAATATGAAATATCAATAGTAACAACTACCAGAACACAACATTCTTGTTCTAAAATCTGAACAGTTAGTACAACTAAGTAACGAATTTTTTGACAAAATTCCAGCATAATTATCTTCTCCCCAACTTTTATTATTATTATTATTATTATTATTATTATTATTATTATTATTATTATCATTATTATTATTAGCTATAACAGTGTTTTACTTTCTTTTATTGGTTCCCTGCTCATAATGTCATTATAATTTTTTCTCTCATATTCTTGTCTTTATAGCTTAAGAAATGTATAAAAACTCCAGAAATCCCTTCTAAACATGTCAGAAACTGGGTCCCAAAAGTTTTGGAACAGCGACGGCAAGGTTTGGAAACATATTTACAGGTAAGATATGTTTAGATCCTCAGTTAATATAACCTAAATAGTTGTATGTCTTACTATTTTAAGAGTATATGAGAGTGATACAAAAATATATAAAGAAGCAAAATATTCTTAATTAAAATAAAGGAAGTTTTATAATTATAAAATGTTGTTGGTTCATTGATTCTAATTAGTTTCTATTTAAAATTGGCTTTTGCTATGGGGAAGTGAAAATATGGTACAAAGGGAAAAACTGACATAAAGAGGACCTATCCATTTTTTAAACTCACCTCTACAAGCACTTTGTTTTTGTGTTTTGTTTTCTTCCCCGGGTTTATTGCTTCCTCATAGCAGCCCCAGCCTTCAGGTTTTGGGTGTTTGGGGACAGATTGGTTTAGTAATAAAAAGTGAATTTTTAGTGGACCCCACTAACATACCTATAGAATCACACTGAGGGGGTATCACCTGTAACAAAGCACCTCCTTCTTTGAAAATTAGAGTCTGTGTGTAGAAAGAACGCATTAGGAGCTCTTTCTGCAGCAGAGGAGAAGCAGAACTACATGAGTGAGACCAAGGCACTCTCCACTGGTGAATGAAAAGCAAAGGGAAAAGGCTGAACAGTTTCAGGTTCTCTGAACTTAAAACCAAAAGCCCCAGAGGCCTGTGATAAATATTCAGTGAAAACAAAACACAAGTCCAAGGCAATGCTCAGGGCAGGATTGGGATAGGCCACCTGAGGTCAGCTAGTGCTCCTCACCTGAGCCAGAGAGGATCCATGTGTGGGAATGACTGAGGCAGACAGGGCAGGAGCAGAGAAATCTTGTCTCTCAAAAAAAAAGGAGCTGGACTTCACTGAGAGTTAGGAATTCAGGACTGATTCTTCCAAGACATGTTCCATCAGGGAAATAAGCAGCCACAACTGTGTTCTTCCTTTAATATCATAGGAAGAGGAGGGAGTGTGTAAAGCCACTGTGTTTTTTCCTCTACAGAGGATGGTTGTGGATGGTTGTATCTGAATCACTGGTGATTGGATGCTGAGGAGAGGCTGTGCTTGGTGATAAACTCAGAGGACTTCTCTCAGGTGGCAGAAGTCTTCTCCTGGCCCCCTGTAGTTGACCTGGTCTTCACACACTGGCATGCTCGAGGCAGCTGGAATGTGTGAGGGGGACTTTCCTCACTGTTCGTGGTCCTTTTCTTTTGGCCTTGGTGGAAGGACTCTTCACCGTCTCTCCCTGAGGGTGAAAGCTTAAAGGAAACAGGGATCACCAATCACAGGAATGTGTGTGTGGCCACGTTCCCCAGACTCCCATAGCTTCAGGCAACACTTCAGAGCAAAAAAACAAACCAAAACCCCAAAAAACAGGACTTCAGAAATTGTATGCAAAGGGTAAAAATGCATGTTCTCTATAATTAAATAGAATAGGTAAACAATGCATTTTCATTTGTAAGCCAGATTTTCCACAGATATTGTATATCTTCAAGCTTTAGTTCCAAAGAAAGCTTTATTCTTTCCCCCCCCCCATTGTATTTGACACATGACTTCCATTACTACTCAGTGTAAACATTTTAAGTTGTTTGTACTTTGGATATAAATATGTGGATAAAATCATCTGGCACAGAGAGGAGTTTATAGTGATACTCAAATTGAGCTTAGAATTTTCTATTCTCAGAAATAGGGCTTGAAAGATGTGGTTGAAGGGCTCAGAAGGCCTGTTTCCTGTTGTGCTTTTAATATTCAGTTTGTTGTCACTTCATTCCCCAGGGGAGTTCAAGGGGGTTCTTCTTCCTTTTCTACCTGATTCTGTCTGCCCGCAGTGGAGTTAGCCGGAAGTTGCAGAGATGAATGCAAATGCTTTATTAATCCCACGTGAAAAGCAGACCCTGGCTCTAGGGGTCATTTCTTGATTTTTAGTATTAAAGTTTTTACTAAGATGATATTACTGTTTCTTTTGCTTGCTTGTCTAGCTCCAGTTACATATTAGTCTAAACCCCAGGGAGTGGGTGCCCCTGAGCCCTCCTCAGCAGGCACCATCTTGCTGCTAGTCTGTCTGAAGAGAGTGCTCCTGATCTGGCCCATGAACCTCAGAAAGTACTAGAACTCCGAGCTCAACAGGAGCTTAGCTGTTACATTTTCTCCAGCTTGTCTCCCACCCATCAGGTATGTTCAGGATCACCCCTCCGACCTGATTTCCCACAAGTAAAACAGGCAGACCAGCTCTTGTGGGGGTCAGAGAAAAACCTCTTTCTCTTCTTGAGAGGGCAACCTTCTGCACTCCAACGAGGGCCCAGGCTGCTCTTTCCTGTTAGAGAGGGAGAAACTAGGTCTAGTGCTGTTCAGAAACTTGCCTTCTCCTGGAATTACCAGTTAAAAGGTTTGGACTGGAATTTTAGTTTCCTAATGACCAGTTTAGTCTCTTTTCCTTGTATATTGTAGATTTTCTAAAGTAGTCTAAAAATTTTTAGACTTTGCATATGTCTTTAAATAGATTAAAAACAAACACTTTATAATCATAAACTACCAACCCAACTCCCTTGATAGATAGACATATGATTTTTTAAAATAATTCTTAAAAACATTTATGTTTTAGTGGTAGGTGGACACAATACCTTTATTTTATTTTTATGTGGTACTGAGGATCAAAGGAACCCAGTGCCTCATGCATGCTAGACTAGTGCTGTACCACTGAGCCACAACTCTTAGCCCAAAAGCTACTTTTTTATTTTTCTCCAGTAGAAATCTTATGTCTTAAGGGGGAAAAAAAGGATGCACAACAAATAAAAGTAACATGCAATCTCCACGATACTTAAATAATTGTCTTGTAGCATGTAGATGATGGGCTCTAATCAGTGCCGTTTACTTTCCAAAACTTCTGCCAGATTTGGAAATGGTTATTTCCACATAGTCTAACAATGTAACAATGACAGCTATGGCTATTTAGTATTACTTACCATTACTTACTTAGGAATTTAAAAAAAAAAGAAAGAAAGAAAGAAAAAGAAATAATACAATGCTATTTAGTAAGTTTTTTTAAAAAAAATTTAAGTACATTTTGAACCATGATCACTTTCCTACTTAACATTTTTAAATCATTTGGTTAGAAACAAATTATTTTAAAAAAATTAAATATCCAAGAATACACATTATCTTAGAATAAAAAAACTAAGTTAGCCAATGAGAGGTTAAAAATTACATTGGACGTATGAGTGATTTGAAGTATGGCATTCTATCTGATGAACAGTGATTATTAATTTCATTTTTGAGAATAATTTTCTATGTATTGAATAGGAAATCTATCCTAGGAAACCTAGCTCTTAGTTGTGTTCATCTTCTTCCCCTTAAAAATACCGCACCCCAGACAAACTCCCTGAGGTTTCACAAATGAGGGAATTGATCCAGGTAAAAGTGGAATTAAGTAAAACAAGGTCTTTCTACATGAATGGAAGAACACTAATTTGTTTTAATTCCAATAAAAAATTCATGCCAAATAAAAATTTTACGAAGTAACAAATTTTTGTTTTCCAAATTATATATACAGATGTGCTTCAATTTATGATAGGGTTATGTCCTGATTAAACCCATCGTAAGTTGAAGATATCGTAAGTTGAAATGCATTTGACACACCTGACCTTCCAGCATCACAACTTATCAACACAGGAGTAAACTTTAGAGTATTGATGTACACACCACGGTCACATGGCTGGCTGGGAACCTCAGCTCACTGCTCCTATCCAGCATCATGAGAGTGTCATACCACATATTGCTAGCCTGAGAAAAAGACCAAAATTCAAAATTAGAGGTACAATTTCTACAGGATGCATATAACCTTTGCACCATTGTTAGGTTGAAAACTCTTAAGCTGAATCATTCTAATTGAAGTCCATTTGTACTAGAAATTCATCTACTTTGGGAGATGTTTTAACTGGAAGATAAAAACAAGTTAATATTTTACACTAATTTACTGAGAAATGTTATATGCATATAAGAGTTTTTGCTTAAAGATAAGCATTCATCAGGCACTTGTGGTATTTGAGGCAAAGGGGTAGATCTAGCTTCAGAGGAGCCTTGAACCATATGCCAGTTAAGTAATCATAGTTATTTTGTCCATTTCTCTTTTCTGTTTTCCATGGTACAATCTTCATTGGGCCCCTTTCTGATACAAAAGGGCTACAGTGGTTCCAGACCTCTCCTACTGTTATCAAATACACCAGAGCCCTAGGGAAGAGTAGGGTCTCTTTTAGTAGTACAATGGAAGAAGGAGAAAGTGCCTTTCCTTAGAAGTCTTCCCTGGTGTCATTGGTTTATCTTTGCACATGTGCCCACCTCTGAACCTCACTGTGGCTAGTCAGATTCTACTCCTGAAGCTAGGGGTGAGGTTGGGTCATTTTCATAAGAAATAACCAGGGTGTTCTTGGTAAAAGAAAAAGGAGTGTCCTGGGTGTGAGTGGAGGAGCAGAGGCAACCAGCAAATGCACGCTCCAGAAAACAGTGATGTTCAGATAACTCAGTACTTATTGATCAACCTCTCTGCATGTACACCTCCTATCATCTGGTAACCACTGTTCTACCCTTAACTTTCATGACATCAACTTTTTAAGATCCCATATATGAATGAGATCTTATGGTATTTTTCTGTGCCAGGATTATTTCATTTAAAATAATATCCTTCAGGTTAATCCATGTTGTTGCAAATGATAGAAATCCATACTTTTTATGGTTGAATAATATTCCATTCTGTATGCCACATTGTCTTTATCCATTCATCAGTTGATAGACCCTTTGTTTTTATTTGTTAACTATTATAAACACTACTGCAGGAAATATGGAATTGCAGATGTCTTGGACATACTCATTTTATTTCCTTCAGATATTTATACAGGAGAGAGAGAACTGAATCATATGATTGTTCTATTTTTAATTGTTTGAGGATTCTCTATTCTATTTTCCATGATGACTGTACAAATTTACATTCCTATCAACACTATGTAAGGGATTCTGTTTCTTCACCTGCACGTTTTGTCTTTTG